CACCTGTATATATATATATATAATCAAAATCATGACTGACCAAAATCATATATGGGTTGCCAGTTGCCCATCCCTAATTTAAAGTCTAATCTATCACAAAAATATCAAAATACTGTTTTATGATGTCATACTTTGTTTTAATTCAGTAGATCTTCTATCTCACCTTACTTGCTCTGCATCATTGGTAAGTAAACATGTTAGAAGCTGTAAGATCATCACATCTCTGGTTCTAGTTCTGTGAAATATAAAAGATCTTGACAAGTTCAACATCTGCATCAGCAGCATTAAATACATCCTCTTGAAACTGTAACATCACCTCACCATGGCATTAAGGAGCCTGTAGGTTGATGCAAAACCTTGCTGGCTGAGTTTATTGCTCCCTCCTGTGGGTGTGAAGTCCACACCACAGAGCACGATGAAACAGAGATAGTGGCTTCGCTCACTGAGACTTTCTTCCACCTTCGGAGTATGACAGGGAGCAGCTGCAGGTTTACACAAAGCTTAGCTTGTGGTGCTTGTGTGACATAAGAGGGTTTCAGAAAGTGGAGCTACTTTAAATGGGCTTTGCTGATCATTATGACTGCGTCTGCACAGCTCTGTTTGATGGGAGCTTTAATGCTGACTGTTGGCTCGGCTTTTGGTTTAGGGCCAAACCAACWCGGGGGTTTTACTTTTATGTTACCGGCGGGAAGCACAGAGTGTTTTTACCAAACAGCCACCAGGAACGACAGCATGGAAATTGAATACCAGGTAAAAGAAAAAAGACAAACAGAAATAACATCTTGTCTTCCTTTAGTTGTAAAGGCATTTTGTAAATGTTTGCTTATTGTCTAACAGAATGAAAGGAGGTTGGACTTTAGTCTTGTTGGTGGAGAGATAAGAAAAACCACAGATAGCCTACTGCTGAAGTCACCTGACTGATAGGGAACACAAAACTGCACAGGCAGGTATAAATTTAAAGAAAGAAAGAAAGAAAGAAAGAAAGAAAGAAAAGAGATGTCCTATTTTAAAAACAAACCAAAACAACACATCTGCACCTCTCGAATTTTTTTGCCAATAAGTTTAAGGTCTTATGTGGACCAACCAGAGCACGCCGGGCCTGAGTCTAGTGTGTGAATTCTGTGAGATCATTTGCATTTCTTCGCCTCATATTCATCTCTGTATCACTTAGCCTATCACCTTACATATCCCAATACATATRCRTCTTACATAGACAGAAATACTTATTTTTGACGCTAATGGAACACCGTATGTAACTAGCATTTAGCTAACTTTATGGATGATTTTAGCATTTTGCTCATATGAGTTTTTAGTGGTGTTGTTTCTTTTAGGTCAAACAGGTCAGCGGAAAAGTTTTCATTATCATTCATTGCTAAACCTGTTTGTTTACCTTAATTGGTTTTCTGTTTTTTTAAGGTTATAGCAGGATCAGGTCTGGATGTTGGATTTGCTCTAATCTCACCCAGCGGATACCGGGTGGTCTCAGAGTTTAGGAGATCTGATGGAATTCACGTGTGGGTCTTCTCAACTTTTCCCTCTTGTCATGTCGAGCCAAGACCTTGTAACACATTTTGTGTAGATCATTTCTAAATGTATTTTGTGGCCTTACATGCTTTTGTAGAAAAGATAAAAGTTGTGTGCACATCACACATATAGAGATGAGTAAAGAGATAATTCCAATATTTTGTTGTGAGAAGACTGAAAACGGACCGTATTTATTCCTTGCAGGGTGGAATGGACAGAAGACGGAGACTACCGCTTATGTTTTGATAACAGCTTCAGTAAACTGTCTGAAAAGATTGTCTTTTTTGAGGTCATCGTTAACAGTTTGAGTAACACAGATGGAGGCAGAGAAGAGTGGGCAAACATTGCAGTTTCTGAAAGTCTGGTGGACTATAAGATGGAAGAGATCAGGGTGAGACGAAAGAAAATCCATCATCTCGTGCCTTTTAATACTTCTCTGATGTCACCTGTTCTGTGTGACCTTTCACCTTTCAGGCCAGGATGGACTCCGTGTACTGGCACCTGGAGAAGAGCCGTCAGGTCCAGGCTGTGCTGCGGGCCTTCGAGGCCCGGGACCGCTACCTCCTGGAGGACAACCTGTGGAGAGTGTCCTTCTGGTCCTGCATGAATCTGCTCATCATGCTCACCGTTGCAGTATCACAGATTTACACCCTGCGGCGTCTCTTTGAAGACAACAAGCGAGTCCGCACGTAAATCAGAACTGCTTCATTACCTCCATCAACCACAGATGAACATTATGATCACCAGGAGTTGAACTTAAAGCAAGTTCATTGTTTAAATAACTGYTTCAAACTTTGGTTTTATGCTGAATAGGGCCAGATGATTTGTAAATTTGATTTTAACATCACTTCAACACCTGAAATCATCAGAGTTGTAAAGTAACTAAGTACAAATATTTCTTTACTGTTCTTCAGTACAATTTTTGGATTTCTGTACTTTACTTGAGTAATTATTTTTCAGCCTACTTTTTACTTCTACTTCTTACATTTTTACACAGTTATCTGTACTTTCTACTTATTACATTTTTAAAAAACGTAAGAAGTAGAAAGTCGTTACTCCTATTTCATCACAGCTTGTTCAAAAAATATTATCCTCCTAGATAAAGTGAATTTAATTGTGGTTGGATGAGAAGTATAAATATACATTATTTTGATCCTGTGTTAGTTTGTACACAATCCATCACACCTGCAAATTACACAAATTATGTCACACTCCAGCAGAGCATAGCAGATATACTGTATGTAACAGGTGTAGTCTAATTTTTCTAACATTAACATTTTATATGACAATATAGCCATTTTGACCTTTAGAAAAACATTTTTTGAGGGTCTCAACTCCCAATAAATGTCATTTTTTGAAGTCTGGCCACTCATTTTTACTCAGTACTTTTACTTTTAATACTTAAGTACATTTTGTGTCAGAAATTTACTTTTGATACTTAAGTACAAAATATATTAGATACTTTAAGACTTTAATATTCTTAGAGGAGACTTGAACTTTTACCAAAGTAAATTTATAGTAAGATACTTGTACTTTTACTCAAGTATCACGTTGAGGTACTTTATGCAACACTGGAAATCATATTGAAGTTAGACTTGTTTTATAACGGCAAACAGAAAATACTTGAAGCATATATATTTATGAATTATATAGAAAACCACATTTATTTGTACTCAAACAACTTTTTATTAAATTTCAGAACACTTAAGACTTTGGGCTATATTTTAATCAAGCAGAAGCAAATGAACACTTTATCAAACCCTCACCTTATGTCAAAAAAAAGGCTTGTTCTTAAATAAACTAAAATAACTAAACTAAAAAAAAAACATATATAATGAAAAAATCCCCTGATTAATTATTGGCAAAGACAGTTTTGGCTATAATGTTTTATGCTGTTATTTTTAAATGCATCAGTCACTTTTATGGTTTTAAAATGCATGTTTGTTTCTGCCRCATCTCAACTTTCTTTTATTTATATATATATTTTTTGTTGTAAAAGTCCTTTTAAAGTGCAACACTCCAGCACTGAATTACATTTGTTTTCTCCCCATCGTTGTTTTAAATAAAAGTAAAGATTTTGTTAATYGTGTGCGTCTGTTCCATCTCCAAATACATGTGATAAGTTATTTATTTTCACAAATAAATAAGGGGGATTTATTTATTTTTTTTGAGGAAGGGGATTAAAGTCTTGAATAAGGTGTTATCATTTTAACTTAGCTTTACCATTTCAGTATCCAGAACTATTTAAAACAGTTAACTACAGAAAAAAAGATTAAAGTTTAATGCCTCTGGGGGGAAATGATACTATCAGTATCGCMTTTCAGATGAAGTCTGCTGGCAGTCATGCAGTTTTCCTTTACTGGACAGGAGAGAACTAAAATGCGCCGCTCCTTTGTTTCCTTTGTTGACACGGATTGAAGTCGTTTCAAGTTCGCTGCGTGCCGGTCAGGGTCACCACTGGTTTCGACGGGGAGCCGGGCGCCTGTTCAGGAACAATCAGCCAACGTTAATCTCTCGACCTTGTGACATGCAGTAAAGAATTGCTTCTGACAGGTAATACACTACAGGTSCAGGTCATCTGAAAACCAGGTCGCCCGTGTTGAAGCAAATGTCAAGTGGAGAACAGACACATTAATAACCTGAATTTGTTACGGCAGCTCAAAAAGAATGGCAATAATCTGAGATTTTGCCCCAAGTTTGAAAGTTTAAGGACTTTTATAAAAAGACTGAACATGGGCTAAGGCGTCATTCTTAAAAACAGAGTAAAATATTAACACTCTCTCTAAAACCTGACTTATTTCACAAGTTTTTATACTAAATCAATTTTCATAATAATGACCTGCTATTGTTAACATTTGTTGAAAATGTGTTGATGCCTCCTTATAAACCACAAAAGAGTGGTCATTGTTTTGACTAGTAGCGAAGAGAACTAAGTAGAGCTGTTCTACACTGTGAGAAACAGGAGCAAATGCATCACACGGCACACAAAGAGACACCAACCACCAGAGCCAGTCCCTTTATTGTACACACCTCTTTATTTCTAAATCACGTCATATTTATTCAAATCAATCAGCTGCTACAGAGGCACTTCACAAGGGTTTGCAAAACAAATAGAAAGATTTTTGCACGGTGGTTTCCAACCCCTTCGTTCTGATTCAGAGAGGGGAGGGAAAGAGGAAGGAGGGAGGATACAGACACACAGATCCATWTTTGAAAGGCTTTAACAATCTAACCTTCTCCAGGAGATGCTGAAGTGACAGACAAGCAGGAACTACAAAATTTAGAATAGTATGGCTTTATATGTATATATATAAAACAATATCTATAAAAGCAATTGTTCCAAAGTTTCAAGGTTTTTGTAAAACTAACCATTTATTCCAAGTTCTATCACTGAAAGCAAGACCAGGAGAAGAGGAAAAAAAAACGCACATTCTGTCTCGAGATTCAGGCGTTTGGGACTTTTCTGAACTCTTGTCTTTTCAGGTTTTCTAATTTACCTGCTGTCCTCTATTTAAAGGAAAGTTTAAGTAGCTTCTCCAGACAGGATGTGCATTCATACATAATTTCCACCACCCACTCACTACCATTACTGATCAAACAGAAAAAAAATAAAATAAATTAAAAAAAGACATCTAAGCAACCAAACCTCACTTCCAACTTGACACCCCCTCCCCTCCCAAATACCTGAACAAGTTTTAATCGATTCAA